CAGACAGCCCCTAAGGGGTGGCTCTGTGCCTCCCCTGGGAGTGCCAGATTGGGGCTGTGGCAACCACACACCACAGCCATGATCTGGATTTTTGCTGCTCCAAAAAGAGCTGGCAAATGCTGCTTCTTCTTGGAGTGGGCTACCCTTAGCGCTGCTGCCGTTGCTATGGCTCTTTTGCATCCCTTTGCCATAGCATGTCTACATGCTGCACCAATGGAGTGCCCTGATGCTGTGAGCTGTGCAGTGGGGTGCATGGCATCATGGCGGCATCAAGGCAGAGTCGGGGTGGCCAGTGTCGGTTGCCCCGCCCCAACTTCACCTCCAGGCTGGCCCCTTTGGCCGGTTTGCACAGGCCCTTAGTCTCAAAGGTGCTGCAAGATCTCTCTACAATTAGCCTCAATTTAGTCATCTTGGCCTCCAGGAAGAGTTCAGGCTTCTTTCATTCTAGGACTCAATTGTTGTTTTCCCCATGTGTACATGATGTTATCTGAACTGCAACACAGTAGTGTCTCTTTCTGTATCTTCAGTCACTGTGGGCATCAATACAAAAAGTAAAGGTTTCTCCTTTGATGTGATTATCTAGTTGTGTTCAATTGTAGAGGTGGTGCTCATCTGTTACTAAGCTGAGGGAGCCAGCATTGCCAAAGATAACTCCGTGGCCATGTGACTTGCATGACTAAATGATGAGGTGCACAGAATGCTATTACCTTCCTACCATAGTGGTACCTATTTATTTACTTGCACTTTTACATGCTTTTGAACTGCTGGGTTGGCAGGACTCATTCCATCATGCAGAGCTTGGGTCTCAAACTGCCGATCTGCCAACTTTGCAGTCATCAGAGTTGGTGTTTTAACGGCAAACTCTGACATAAATTTAGTTGTTGAGATTGGGTTAGCATTGAGTATATGTCTTCAGATGGAGTAACCCATTCATTCTGCTACACACCCCTTGTGTTGAATTTCAACACTGTGCAGTGGAATGCACAATGGCATGGCCATCAGAATGCACCACAGAAAGCAGAAGGGTACATACTACTGTATGTGCAAAGGAATGAGCAACAAAATGCACAATGGAATGCACAACCAAAGGAATACTACTGCCAATTTCAGCAGAGGTAGATGGATATACATCAACCAAGAATGTACATCTCTATCCCAACACCACCACATGTGCAGCTCTACTTCTATGACCTTGGACTGAATGCAGATGTTGTAGAAATCTCCAATTACTTCCGTAAATTGGACACAATAGGATTCTATTAATGGGTTAAACAGGATTGTTGTTGTTGTGTGCCTTCAAGTCATTTCTGACCTATGGCAACCCTAAGGTGACCCTATCATAGGGTTTTTTGGGGCTGAGAGTGTATGGTAGTGGGGCCAATTGTGCAAGATGCAAGGCAAGTATGTGTGTAGGGTTCCTTTCTCTCTGACTCTGAAGATATAGCTCCTGTCTATGTGCGCCTACATGGTCAACAAGTCCATATTTACCTATTTAGTCATCTGCTCATGAAATGCATGAAGGTCTTCATATTACCATTACTACTGGATCTATATCTATACTTATATTGCCCCTGTATTGCATGTCCCTGCTTCTCTTTAGGTTAAAAGCAAACCTTGGCTTTGCTAATGACTATCTCCACTGTGAAGCTGGAAAAATCCATTGGATTCAATAAGGACCATGACGCATTCTCTTTTCCCTAAAGAGTTTTCTGATTGCAGTGCTCTCAGCCAAGGTTTCCAAAGGCTGGAGTGTTTCATGATGGTTTGGAACAATTTTTTTCTCTCTCTCTCTCTGTGTGTGTGTGTGTGTGTAAACATCATTTTGCAGTGAATTCCTTTCCCTGCACTTCTTTTTCACTGGACATTTATTTCCTTCATGGTTTTTATAGACAATTAATTAGGGTAGCAAATCAACTGCGAACCTTTTGACTGACTCCAGTGGTGCATTTCATGAACAAAAAAGCAGATTGCTCTTTAAAAGTAATTTCAATACAAGATCTTTTAAAATTTCAAGTTGCAGGGAATAGGCAAAAGTGTTGGCTCAATACATTGTTAGTGTATCTGTTGTTGTTGTTATTGTTGCTGTTGTTGTGTGCCTTCAAGTCATTTCCAACCTATGGCAGCCCTAAGGCAACCCTATCATGGGGTTTTCTGGGGCTGAGAGTGTGTGATAGTGGGGCTCAATGTGTAAGATGCAAAGAAAATTTAAGGTAAGTTCCATATCATCATCATAATCTGCCATTGGTCTGAAATGGTGAGTAGCTGGATTCTGCTGATTTCTTGTGAGTTTCTTTATGCACATGGTTGTGCTTTTTTTTTTTTTTAAAGCCACGGTGCAATGGTTGTATTCGGAGCACCATTGCATTAGTGAAATTCTGAGAATATAACCATTACAGATGTAGTTGTATTGCATTCTTGGGTGATGTTAGTACCATCAGTGTACCATTTCATTCACTGGGACTGTGGAGACAGCCCTTGCTCATTCTCCATTGCACTGTGGGGTAATAAGCAAGCTCATTTGGAAGATACACAATCTTATATCTTACAACATGTTGCACAACAATGCTGGTATTCAGAAGAAGGGTGGCATAGCCGAACCACCACATAACTACATGTGTGCAGATTTATGTTACATATGTGCTATGAAGGATCTGATGACGCTCTTCTTCCATCCCTCATAGAGAAGTCTACTGGGCTCACAACTGAATCTTACTTCAACACTAGGTCACCTGATGGCAGCAGGTTAACTTTGGAGCACAGGGAATGTTACATGGCGCACACATCTCTGTCTCCTAACATCTTGCCACTACTTTCTACTCCCCCCACCTAGGGATGGAAAGGTTAAATTATTGGATTAAAAATAGGTTTCCTGAATCCTTAAATAATAGTAAACTAGAGAAAATTTTGTACAATTTTCTCCTGGATTTTAAAAATCCTGAAGTGTCACAGAGGAATGTTCTGTGGAGAAGAACGTGGGTTCTCCCCTGTTCCCCCAAAGCTGTTTTCTGTTCAGTAGATAGGTATTTTGTGCAGAAAACACTGGTTCCTGCACAGGAAACTTATTTTCTGCATAGGAAAAACCCCACAGTTTAAAAAAAAATGCAATACAGCCATGTGTCGTCCTCCCCCCTGCCCAAGTAAGTCCTCTCCAATACAGGGAGAATACAGCGAAAGAATATTCTTTTTCTCCCATGGCATGGTGAACACAACCATACTTATTCATACTCAAATATGAGGATGGCAAGATTTATACCATTACCCTCCACTGTAGTGGTGGTAGCTCTGCCTCGTGGGATGGTTGGCTCTTGTTATTCCTTCAGTGTTTCTTCACCCTTTGAGTATGCTCTTCCCCACAACATAATTCCTCATTGCACCCTCCTGGGCCATCTCCCATTCATTCATCTGTGTCTTTCTCCACAAGAGCAACCCAAATGGAATCAAGTGCTCCCACAGCCCATCAAATGGTGCCAAGGAAAGCAAAGGAATGACCCGTCTCATTTTACACATGGACACGCTCCTGATTTTATTTACATAATTCAGGAATTGCCTCTTCAAAAGAGCCAGCAAACTCAAACACGTAGAAGTTTGGACAGAAGTCAAGGGCAGCCAATTGAAAAAGAAAACTGGAAGGTGTCAACTTCGGTAGAAGAGAATTGGTAGAGATGGGGTTGTGTGGAACGGGAGTGAACAATAACTGGATGAAATGGAAACCCAGGCTGAATTGCCAGAAAACTATTGTAATGGCTCAGATAGTGGAAAGATAAGTCTCTTGGGGCCAAAAGAGGTTCTGGAACTGAAGCCATTTCAAGGTTTAGCTAGACAAAGCAAACAGAAGTGTATAAAGAGATTGGGACCATACAGAAAAGAAGCCAATAAAGGTGAAAACTTTTGAAATTTCTGCAATATTCCAACTCTTGAGTAACAAGACCTTATCTACCTTAACTACTAATAGAAAGTGTTACACTAAAAAGAGAGAGTTTAACCCTTCTTTTATTGCTGCAGGAGTGGGGAAGCACTACCATCTGACTTCTGTGGCCCCCAAAACCCCCCTAGTAACCTCAAGGCCTCATTTTTTTTGGAGGATAGCATTTTTGAGAAAATTTCACCACCAAACCATACCCAAACACCTAATAAAAAGAAACTCCCACATCCCAGAACTCCCACCTTCCCCAAATACTTCATTTGCAGTCATATATAGGCCAAAATGGCCTTTGACAGTGAAATCGCTTCATGCTTGATCATCATTTTGTCCCATATAGGGTTCCAAAAAGTTTTTTTTTTTTTTTTTTGCCAGGACAGGTTGGTAGCCTATGGTGTGTTGGAAACATCCCATTTCCACAGTTGTCTGCCTCAAACCTAGATTCCAGGCTACTTTCTTTATATAAATTGCTCTCCTGACACTCATTATTTTTATGCCTGTCAGTGTTACAGACCCATATTTACTTTACAAACATGGGACCAAGATCCTGCATCACCAGACATAGCTGTGTCAACAGAGTTCTGTCATCATAGCTGCTTCTGTTGATTTGTAGTTGCCGTGTGCCTTCAAGTTGTTTTTGAATTATGGAGACCCTAAGGTGAACTTATCACAAGGTTTTCTGGGGCTGAGAGTGTGTGACTGACCCAAGGCTATCCAGTGGTTTCCATGGCTGAGCAGGGAATTGAACCCTGATCTCCAGTGTTGTAGACCAGTGCTCCAACCACCACACCATGCTGGTTCTCTACTGATACCATTTGAACAAAACTCTATCTCATAAACCAGACAGTATCTCAATTGAAGGTTTTCTGAGCCACTGCAGATCAGGGCACTGAGAAATGATGACTACAGTGCTCTTCCAAACACAGGGCACATTGAGACAGGCAGTCATTTCCAACTTATGGCAATCCTAAAGCAAACTTATGGGATTTTCTTAGCAAGATTAGTTCAGGGGAGGTTTGCCATTGCCTTCCCCTGTGGCTGAGACTATGTAACTTGCCCAAGGTCACCCAGTGGGTTTACATGGCCAAGTGGGGAACTGAACCTTGGTCTCCAGAGTCATAGTCTAACACTCAAACCACTATGCCACACTAGCTCTCTTTAGTCCTCTTTATGATAATCTAAATATTGAACAGGATGTAAGTTATTTGTCTAATCCTTTGGATATATGTATGTGAAAAAGAAGTTTGTGTATGTGTGTTTGAATGCACCATTTATACATACACCCACTCTTCTTCCACAGTGGGAGAAGTGTTAAGCACCCCGTTTCTCCCTCCCTTCTTAGTTGCAGGCAATTTCCTTCCAAGGGTGCTTTGCAATGGAGAAGGGTATGTGGAGCACTGTTGTGGCACATTATCCTTTGAAATAGCACGCTATGGCACTCTGCGTTGCATTTGCATCCCAGTTGTTTAATTCACAGTGTTGCATTACTGTGACAGGACTTGGCTTCAGTAGCTAGCGAAGACTCAGGAGAATGCACAGCTTTAAAAATAGCTGTGGCAACCGAATTGCAAAATTTTAAACTGGGTGGTAGTCGGCTCTGACACTGGGTATGAATTATTGTGATGTGTGAAACACCAAGAGGGAGCAATTAGACGCCAGACATAACCTCCCACCACAGCATGGCTGGCTTCCTTTCTGCAGATTTTGCTTCCAAGCGCAAGGGCTTGTGGCTCATGCACGGAACAGTGCTTATAGTGGAAGAAAACAGTTTTCAAGTCTGAGTCTTGGCATCAGTAGTAGAATTTGCTGCTGACATGGATCACCATGGCAACTGCTACCTTTTGCAAGGCTAGCCTCAAAGGGATGGAGGCTCAGTGTTGAAACACAATGGAGGGCGGGTGTGCCTTTTGGATTTTCTATACCGATTGGCTTGTTGATTTTTTAAAAAAACATTTCTTCTTTGCTTCAACAGAGAACAGCCAAGGTGGCTAACAGAACTCAGAATTAGAACAAATGCAAAATGAAAGACTACATAAATAATTTTAAAAAAACCAACCCAGGATAGCTGATCATTAAATTTAAATACGCTATAGTTTAAAAATTATCTATATGTAGAGTTTGGAAGGAAATGCTAATTAGCTTTGACAAGTTACCTTTTCTGGTGTAAACATTACCTTATCAAGAGTAACTGTATCTAGTTACATTCAAAAGTTACCTTTAAAGGGGATTTTAAGAGTAATTTTGACAAGATCCTTTCTATGCCTTTATGTTTTCAATCCTAGAGATTTCCACCCCCTTCAAAAAAGGTAATAAGAATGTAATACACAAGGCAACAAATATCACAGTTAATTATTTCCCTCCACATTATAATAAGTAATGGCAGTTGGTTACTGTCCAACTGAGCTGTCCAAGGTGATGAACCCTACCCACAGAAAAGGTTTAGCAACTTGCACACAACCTTTAAAGTTCGGGCTAAAGTCCAGAGTGATATGGGGGCTACCAGCATCTGTTTCAAGCTAGCTAGGGAGATGAAAACAATTTTCCATTGGCAAGACTGTAGTGCTAAGTGGACATCTCAGCACAGCAAGGCTTCTTCCCTGGAGAGATCTTGCCTCCAGTGTGAGACTGGGTTGCCAAAATAGTTCTTCCCTTCCCTTCCCTTCCCTTCCCTTCCCTTCCCTTCCCTTCCCTTCCCTTCCCTTCCCTTCCTCTTTCTTTCTTTCTTTCTTTTAGACACCATTTCTGTACAAAATTGCAGACATAGGAATTCTTTAAGAATAGCACAAAATTGTAGAAATAAGAACAGTACAAAACAGTGCAATTCTGCACAAATTTGCACAAAATTGTGTAAAACACTTGTCCTTGCAAAGTCTTTCCCCCTTTTGTGAAGCTAATGCAAAAATCTAACTGCTGACAAGAAGGAAGAAAGAGGTCAAGAATAATAACATAAGTGGTTGAAAAGGTCAAATAGATACAAGATGCCAAGCCCACCTGGTTGTTTAAATGTCAGCCCCTTGGTTCATCCCACTAGTTACTTCTTACATATATTGATTTTAAAGAAATGTGTAGCTAGTTGTCTTCACCTCATTCTGCTCACCTCAAATGAACCAGACTAAGAATTTTACTTGCACAACAGCAATGGGATTGTGTCCTCCATCACACTGGTGACAGTATACTTGTTTATGGGACACAGAATGGTGCAGGTAGCATATGCAATTCCACACACTCTTTCCTCCTCCCAAACTTGATTACAGAAGTCCCCAATTCTAGCTTCTGCACATACTAGTGCTCTGCTTGTAGCTACTATAGAGACACGACTGAGTGTGTAAATACCCTTCTCTATCAAAGAGCATTAGAGTGGATTTTCTGAAATGATAGATATAAAGGCTTTTTAAAATCCCTACCCCAGGCATCCAAAGTAGTTATCTCTGTTTTATATAACTATATATGCTCATAGCACTACCATCTGTTTTCTACATGGTGGCTGATGCCTGCCATGGTGGCTGATGCCTGCCATATCAGTTCGGTGATAAATCTGCTCTGGTTTTTGGGGCTGAACTTTAACAGAACTATCCACAGTTTTGAACTATTGGTTTGGCTGAAATACCAATTATTCATACAGAAGAAAATATTGTTTGTGTCTCAGGCAGCAAAGTGCCTTGGGATGGCCTTGGACAGAACTGACATTTAGTGCTGACCTATATGTGTGTGTGTGTGCCTTCAAGTGGCTCGATAAATTTCATAGGGTTTCTTTAGGCAAAGGATACTCAGAAATTGTTTGCCATTGTCTTCTTCTGAAATGTAGCTGTCAACACTGGATATTAGTTGGCAATCTCCTACCCAAGTGTTAACCAGACCTGGCAGTGCTTAGCTTCCAAGAAGAGTAAAAAAAACAAACTGTAAGATCTGCAATGAGGGCACTGTTTATATTCCAGTTGAAAGTACAATGTTCATTTGAACCAGCCCTCTCATACTACTGCTGCTCAAAATGCAACTGCCTTGTTGGGTACTTCATTGGAAAAGAATTTCTCAGCAAGCTGCCTGGCAGTCACACGCCATGCTATATTCTTAGAAAGCAATAGCTCTCTGCAGGCAGATTGCTGAAGCTGCTAAGAATTTAATATATCCTTGGCAGGAACTCATCCTTGGTGACGCTAACTGAAATTTGCAAGTTCTCAGACAGAAATGATTAAATTGCAGCCAAACTTCATTAAGATCTGCTCCCTATTAATTATACTTCCTTCTCCCTATTCCCAAATGAAAATTCAGGAGTCTCTGAGAAAGGAGGCTTCCAATGATTACTCAGTTTATCTGTTAGGAGCAAAGGTGGGTACGCTAGAGCTTGGAAGCATAAGCATTAGTGGTAATGCATAAATGTTTGTTTCTTTGCTTTGTTTTCATATTGCCTTTCTCTGAGAACTGAGTCATAATAAAGAAGGGATGCAATTCACTTAGGGACATAAGCATACCCAAGTCACACTATGAATCTGAGGCCAAAAATTACCATTGCACTCTGTACATATTCTGTTGATAGCAGTGAATGTGGAGTAGTACAGACAGCATGTTCACTTGTTTTGTCTCTACAAGCTGCACATTGTGTATGTATTGTGATTATTCATCCTATTTTGCATTTTGCTATTGTTAACTGCCCCTGAATCGCCCTGACTCATGGCAATTCTATGGATGAAACATCTCCAGCGTCCCTATCCTCCACTCTTCTGCATAAGTCTTCTAGATTCAGGCCTGTGACCTCCCTAATTGAGTCTATCCATCTGGCATGTGGCCTTCTCTCTTTCTACTACCTTCTACCTTCCCTAGCATTATAGTCTTTTCTATTAAGTCATGCCTTCTCATGATGTGCCCAAAGTACAATAGCCTCAGTTTCATCATCTTGGCTTCAAGGGAATGGTCAAGCTTAATCTGTTCAAGGACCCACTTGCATGTCTTTTTGGCTGTCCACAGTATTTTTAGTTTAGTTTATTTTCTTTCTGTTGGCTTTCTTCACTGTCCAGCTCTCTCATCTGTACATGGTGATGTGAGTATACAATTGCTTGGACAAGTCTGACTTTAGTGCTCAATTGTACATCTATACCTTTAGGATCTTGTCTAGTCCTTTCATCACTGCCCTTCCCATTCCTAGTCTTCTTCTTATCTCTTGATCTCTTCCTTCTGTTCAGTGTTTGATCCAAGGTAAGGGGGAATCTTTTAACTATTTTGATTTCCTCATTATCTAGGTTGGATTTGTGCAAATTCTCCATGGTCATTATTTTTTGTTTTCTTTATGTTCAGCAGTATTCCTGGCTTTGCACTTTCTTCCTTGACCTTCCTTAGCAATTGCTCCAGGTCTGTGATGTTTTCCACTGGTAGTATGGTGTCATCCACATATCTTAGATTGTTGATGTTCCTTCCCCTTTTCTTCACTCCTCCTTCTGTGTCTAAGCCTGCCCTTTGTATATTTTCTGCATACAAGTTGAACAGATAAGTTGATAGAATGCATTCTTGCCTTACCTCTTTGCCAATTGGGAACCACTCTGTTTCTCCATTTTCTGTTTTAACAGTAGCTTCTTGTCCCAAGTACAAATTTCTCATTAGGACTATCACATGTGTTGGCATTCCCATGACTTTAACAGCATTTCATAGCTTTTTATGATCTGTGCAGTCAAAGATTTCCTTATAGTCTACAAAGCACATGTTGATTTTCTTCTGGAATTCCTTGGTGTGCTCCATTAATCATTGTATGTTTGCAATGTGGTACCTAGTGCCTCTTCTTTTTCTAAACACCATTTGCAACTCTTGGAATTTCTCTCTCCATATATAATTGGAGTTTATGCTGCAGAATTTTGAACATAATTTTGCTTGCGTGGGTAATTAATGTGATGGTCCTATAGTTTCTGCAGTCTTTTGTGTCCCCTTTTTGTGGATTGGGATGTATATTGATAGTTGCCACTGTATTGTCCATTGTTTTGTTTTGTATGTATTGTGGTTGTTCATCCTATTTTACATTATTGTCCTGTTAACCTATTTTGCATTGTGGTTGTGCATCCTATACCTTGCATTGTGATTTGCATTGCAGCTGTGCAATCTTTATTTTGTATTGTGGTTGTGCACTGTCTGCACTGTCTGCTTGGCATTGTGATTATACATTGTGGTTCTG